TTTCAATTACCCGCACAGAAGATTTTACTAAGGCGGGTAATGAAACGTTTGCAAGAAAAGAACCGAGCTCAGAGAACCCCAAGGACTCCACAGGGGCGAAGGAGCTAATTTTCGGGAGAGCGTCCCCTAGAAAAGCATCGTGTTCAAAGGAGCAGGGGGGCGTTCAACAATTCTGCAATTCTGTACAGCCCCCTTCCCCAAACTGGAGCCCTCCAGATGGGCTGGACTACAAACCCCCCAAAATGTTCCACCAGGTGGAATTATGAGGTCGGCGTTCCACTTAATCTGGAGGGCACCGCGTTGGAGAAGGCAGCTGTAGTGCTCTCCTGGGAGGAAGTGGTCAGAGGGGCTGCTTCTAAGAATCAGCATGAACTGATGCTGGATCCTGGCAACAAGTGGGAAATAAATATATTAAGCCTTTTTTATATCCCACTGATTTGAATGGAACCAAGCAAAGGGCCCTGAATGTCAGAGGCACAGAGTCCAAACCCATCAAAGAGCAGAAAATAATTATTTAGGGATTTATACACAAATAGCCTGGAGTTAGTTTCACTGAAATCAGTCTGGCGTACTTTTGACTTGAATCAGATTGCATTATTTTTCTTTTTATTTGAGGAACAAAGGAAGCCGCTGTTTTTCCTAGACTTGCAGGAAAAAGACCTCTCTAAACATAAAGTTACAGCCCTTTTGGATCATTATACTGAAGGGAGGTATCATATGAACTTTCTGCCCCACCCATTAAAAGATCTAGAATTGCCTTGTCCAGGAAGAACGGCAGGTTTAATCTTTCACTTTTCCTTGACTGTGGTGCCTTTGGGTGGGCTTGTTTAGCTTTTCTGATAAATCTAAAAAAGATGTCTTAGAAATCTGAAAAGGATTTGAAAGACACACTTGGATGTGTGTTCCTGCATTTCGCAAGCCCAGCACAAGACATACAGAGAAAGTCATCAGTATGTTGACTCAAGTGTGACTCACACTTCAGAGAAAGCCAGCCTCTGAGCACAAAACAGATTAATCTAGGCCACGTGTGCACCCAGCTTTCCTGGTGGCTGTGCTTTCTCTCTCCCTCTGTATGCCAGCTGCTGAAAGAAGAGAGAAAGGTTCTTACTTTAGGACTGGTTTGGCATAGTAGAAAATAGGATACAAGATTATGTGTGGAGTCCCCCCCCCCCCCCGGGTTATATGAATGAATGAATCTTTATTATGGTCTATGACCAGTCCATTTAACACACTTTTTTTTTTGCCTTCAAGTCATAAGTTATAAAAATATAAACACTCATATTTTTCTCCAGATACCATTGGTAAGTTTCTTTTAAGCTAATTTACATTTTCTAATCAGATTTGCAGAAAGAAAAGCAAATGAGCAACCAGGGGATTACTGAGAAGAGCCAAAGTGGCTGCAAGGAGTCCATCAAGAGAAAATCAAGCCCTTAAAATCATGAAAACAGGATTGAAAATCTTGTGGTTTTAAATACAGGATGGGTAGATATTCATCCTTTTCTGGATTCTGGCCTATCAAGAGACTGTCTTTCCATGGAGGGGAGAGGCCGTCTTTTTTCATAAAAATAACTTTCAGGGTTTGTTTACCAAGCATATTATTTCTAGAAAGGTTGGTAAGGACAGAAACAGATAAGTTAAATCCACAGTAGAAATTGTTCATGCATGGGTTATTGTATAAATCACATTTAATGAGGTTATAGAGCATGCTTGTGCCGTAAGCCACAGCTTAATTTATTGGATTCAAGCACTCATTTTAGGAGTATAAATCCAACATAAGTCACATAAAGTGAATGCTATTTTAATACTTCACTTACAAAGTCTTTAAACAAAGAGAAATATTAAAGCTGTTGCCCTGGCTTTCAATGGCCCAAATATTATGTATTTACAATATGTGGGATACATTATGTTGTAAATTTACAAACTTAGAAACATGTAGAGCTCATACCTAGAAACATTTAAACAATAGACAACCCAATTGTTCTCTAGGACCTGCTACCATTGGAAGATTGCCACTCCTGAGTTATATGAATGAATGAATTTTTATTATGGTCTATGACCAGTCCATTTAACACTTTTTTTTTTTTTGCCTTCAAGTCAGTGTTGACTCCTGGCAACTGCCTGGACAAGTCCCTGCAGTTCTCGTGGCAAGATTTCGGAAGTGATTTACTCTTGCCTGCTTCCTAGGGCTGAGAGAGAGGGACTGACCCAAAGTCACCCAGTTGGCTTCATGCCTAAAGCAGGATTAGAATTCAGAATCTCCTAGTTTCTAGCCTGATGCCTTAGCTACTACACCAGACTGGCTCTGTTAAACACTAATAGAATGAAACTAATGCATGAAACTAATATTAATTAGCTTTCCCTGAATTACGTTATATAACACATCTGTGACTTGGGTCCATGCACTGTCCTAAGCCAGGATCCAATTTGTTTGGTTTTGGCATAGTTCATGTGAACCCTGGCTTTTTGGGTTGTCTGCCATATTATATAGTTTGGTGTGATGTGTGAATAAGTCACCTGTGTCTTATTCAACAAACCATGGAGTTTTGTGTGATCTGTGACCTTTTGGCTAGCATAAGGAATGTCCTGCTGGATAAGATCAAGATCCAACAAGCTATTCCTGCATGATTATGAATGATCTCTCCATCCAATTACAGGGACTAGCTCAGGGTGCCTCAACCTCAGCAACTTTAAGAGGGATGGACTTCACCCTCTTAAAGTTGCTGAGGTTGAGGAACCCTGGACTAGATGATCTATCAAAAAGTAGCGAGGGGGACATGAAGTAGTTTTGCCTTGCTCCTGATACAGTAAAATAGATGCATTGGTTTTTTTATTCTTTTTAATGACTTCTGTAAAAGGGCCTTCAAAACTCTTTGTATGGAATACGGTCCAGGACGTAGCATTTGTGTACTGTGGCTGCAGGGCAAAGTTTTCGAGCCCAGGGTGGAGTCTGCCTCTATCTTGGTTTACAAATCCTGCTGCTAGCCTCCAGCTGTGAGTTAGCCAGCCGCCCAAAGAGAACTGTGGCAAGCTGATCTGGAAACTTTACTGTATGCTAAGACATATGGTTGCAATTTGGATGGCGACAGCGTGTTGTAGAGTATTATATCACATGACAGCTCTGATCAGCTAGCTTGCCAGATGAATGAATAACGCTTGAAAAATTGCAGGAGAGAGGAGCAGGGAGAACAGGGTGGAATTTATGCCTTGTTAAATATCACTTAAGCTAGACTGTGTAATATTAAGCATTTAGACCATTTTTCACACGTAGTACATAAGTCTTTTTGCTGTCCTTACAGTAACCTTACAAATTCAGTACTGTTACTGCAACAATATGATCTACAAGAATATGTTTCCATGTCTTTCCTTTCCTAAAAGGAAAGTTCAAGTCCTGGTTTCTAACAGTCATTCCAAACAGGGCACTCCATTTGTTTCTCCCTTACCACTTTCCTTTTCCAACTATAATGCTATATTCCACCTCTCCTGACTGTGCTCACTCTTCATGGCTCTTTTTTAAAAAAAAATTTATTCCACCTTTCTTATTTTTATAAATACAGTAATACCTCGGTTCACGAACGCTTCTGTTCACGAACAATTTGGTTCGCGAATAGCAGCGTTCGCAAAATTTTGCTTCCGTTCGTGGCCATCTTCCCTGCTCTGACACGTGGTCGTGGCTTCCTCTAGGCGGGATCGTGGTCGCAGACAGACACTTGCTGTGAAGCTTTTTGGTGTCGCTTCAATCAAGGTTAGTGTTCTCTCTCTTCATGCTATACTGTACTGTACTTTGTTTCATATTTTTGTGGTTAAAAAAAAATACATGGTTCACAACGGATTAACCTTATTTACATTGAACCTTATGGGAAAATTTGATTTGGTTGGCGACCAATTCGGTTGGCGACCACGTTCGTAGGGGTCAGAACGGATTAACCTTATTTACATTGAACCTTATGGGAAAATTTGATTTGGTTGGCGACCAATTCGGTTGGCGACCACGTTCGTAGGGGTCAGAACGGATTAACCTTATTTACATTG